TACAATATTCCTCGGTTTCATTTTTTTGAAAGCACCTAATTACGAATGAAATAGAACTGTCAGACCTGTTTCACAGAAATGCTCAAAACAACGCAAACACAACATTATATCACTTCTAAGAAAACATTAGTACAGCCTTTTGAATATATACCATAACGACGACGCTAAATTGGGTGAAATATTCATTTTCGATATTGTATTTAACACCTTGTACGACAAACTAGTCTACAATTAATCGCACGAAAACAAAAAGCAATTAATTCAGAGTTGCTTAACGAGGAACGAGATCATTTCGTAAATTGAATAACATTTATTCACTTGTACAGTATGTCAGTATGTCGTAGGTATTAGTCAAACGCTCGCAACAAGTCAAACGGTCGGTTTTGCAAAACAACCTAATTATTACGCTTAATTAAACTTTGTGTTTCTAATTAAAATTCTTGTATCCTAGATAATAACAGCCATAATAAGCGTGTTTCATTCAATTTGTGAATGCGTTGATTTATGCAAACATATACAATTTGATCGTTACGGTAACGGCATAAGCGTTAATTAAAATTGTCTCGAATGTCTTTTGTTTCGAAGAGAAAATGTTAGTGCCGAACAATTTAATTTCGCTTTCGATATAGCCCTGTTTGGAGCAAACTTACAAATTAAGGACGACATTTCAGCCCAAGAGACTGTTCTATTTAAATAGTCGCTTTAACAAACCGTTTAACAAATTTGATTGTTGTTACTATATATTCTATTTAAAGTATGCTGATAAATATTTAAAACCAAAAATTACACCATTTATAAACGATTATTAGTATCGATAAACGAGATGACGCAAAGTTGTTTGAGTACGGTCCTCCCTCAGTTGAGTACAATCGTTAACCAGGAGAGTGCATGAATACGGCAATCAATTATAGTCAATGAGCTGTACAGAGCTAGCTGAAAAACACCGGTTGTGTTTAATCGCTAACCATAATCGAATAATGGCACTGAACCAACGTTAGTTTACAGTTCGTAATCCAACAAATGAAATAGAGGTATGAGAAAATTATATTCATATTCTAATATCATATATATCATAAATATAAATCCTTACTATAAATGTGAAATAGAATTTGTTTGTTACCTTAACGGTTTAACGGTTACTGTAGTATCGAACGCCTATAATATCAGTAGTATTTACGCGCGTTGTCGACTCTCAAGAAATGTCTTTACAAGGGTTAGAAGAATACCATTTCTCTTAGGAAAATCTCGACAGAAAACATATAATCAAAGTATACAATTACCTATTGACTGAAAGGGGGGCACTATAATTATTATTATTATTTTACACTTTATCGCACCATTTATAAAATAATAAACACAGTTAATTGTAATGAGAAGTGATACAAAAGGCGCCCTTATCGCTGCGCAATCTCTTTCAGACAACCTTTGGGTAGAGGGCATTGAGAATAAAGACAAAGGGTAGATGGCGCACTATATATATATACACACACACACACACTAATATATACAAATATATATACATACAAATAAATATATACACATAACATAACACAAAAAACATAAATACATATACATATACTTAATAGCACATCTACAAAAAGAGAGAATAAAAATGGAACATGAAGACAGAATACAAGAAAATAGTACATACATAAAGGGAGAGATAATAGGACTTAACAGAGGGTTTGAAGCTAGCGAGAGATGTTACATGCTTTTTTTAATTAAATTTACAATGAATTTTTAATGCATTCTGAATATTATTATTCAAATGAATTACAGCAATTATTTTTGTGCCTCATACGTCAAATAGGCACACACAACAAGGACTTTGAAATATTAAGATATGCAAATTAATATTTTGAGTCATAAAGATAATCAATACTAGTGACCTGCCACGGCTTCGCACGGGTATATAGAAAATAACATAAAGACTATGCCACTCGCTGGTAATGTAGCTTACTAAAATGTATGAATTTTTAAAATTTAAAATAGTATTTAAAATTATCCAATACAAACAAACAATCAAATATTATCTCTACATCATATTAGAATAGACATGATCTTGTATATTTTTATCACTTTATCTTGTTTACATATTGCCCGTATGCAACTGATTTAAATTATTTGCAACATTTTTATGCATTAAATTTTGCATAATATTGCAACATAAAGGAAGACATAGACATCAACTGTGATAATTTGGTAATTATGTAAACTTCAAACTGAGTCTACTCTATCATTTACATGATCATCAAGCAATTAAAGTAGGATTTTTTATAATAAAATTGTATGTAGACGATATCTGTACACGTGAGATACTTAAGAAAAAAATATAAGAAGGGTCTTAATAAGAGCAATAGAAGTCAAACAATAATTTTTATAGTTTTGTCTGTCTATCTGTCTGTGTTTGTTCTGGAAACGTGCAAAAACTACTGCAAAAAACTTTCTAATGTTATATTTATGAAAATTAAACAAGTTTGTGTCTCAGTTACCCCGAAACGAAAGATGGAACAATTTTATAATAATGCGAAGAGAAGGGATTGTTAGTAAAGGAGTCTAGAATTCCTAGGAATATACCCTATTAGGTCGACCTCCACACAATTCCTTCTAGTAACCGTCGTGATTAGTTCTTGTGGAATTTGTCACGATGGTCTAACTAACCTGTTTTCATCCTCGCCTATCATCTCTCAGTAGTGCCTCGCCTGCATATATGGCAGGCGGGATTAACATTCCCTATTCATTTGCTAAAAAAATTCATTGTGGTAAAGCTTCAATACGCTGTACACTGAAGCTTTTTTTAGTGTATTAATAAATCTAATATAGCGAACGAAGTAATATGTATACACAAAATACATTTATGAAAATACAAATTACTAGTTAGAGCGATATTGGCTATTGATTGATTAGCTGAGTTTAATAACATTTAGCGGTTTAAGACAAACTGATTAATTAAACGATGGATCCGTTGCCTTAGGTTATGGTTATACTTGTACAAATATTATTTCAATCTATCACTAGCTTTTTGCCCGCTATTTTATATGCGTGGTATTCAGAAGTAGAAAAACCAATAAAATAGACTAGCTCTGGATGGGTTCCCAAGATAAAACCTATACCTGATTTTTAGTTCCACCTTCAGGAATACAACTGAAATATCCACTTCCAACTTGATGCATTAGTTTATGCGTGATGTCGAAACAAACATACTAATAGACAGATTTAAAAAAAAAAACATTTGTTTTAGCGTCTATTGCTCTTATCAGAACACCTTTTTTTTCTTAATCTTATCTGCCATGTACATACATCGTCTAATTACAATTTTATTACATCAATAAGATAGCGCCAAACTACGACATTTAAAATTATGTATACATTTTTTTAGAACAATTCTAACAATACATTAACCCCTCCTTGTTGACCACATATTTCTTCTATCATAAAAAGCTTAGTATATAGGGTTCAATTTCGAATGAATATTAAAAATAAAAGGACTTTTAACGAGAGAAGAACAAGCCTTAATCATTATATTTTTACTATATTACATCAAAATGGAGAAGGTTCTTAATTCGATTACTTTTTGTGTAAGTTATTATTATCATTCGCCTTTGAATTATATTTTCAATTGACATGGTTTATTCCTAACTAAAATATTTATTTTTAATCAAAGTTTTATGTTATGTTACACAGATCCCTTGTGAATATTTTAGCATAAATTAATAAACTTTTATGGTTGTAAACATAAAATTGTGACAGATATACGCAACAACTTAAGATTTTAGTATTTGTCTAGCACTTGTTTTATTTTTACAACCTCATAAGACTCCATTACGAGAATTGCCTTGATTGAATTGTCGTCGAATGATCCATCCATAAATAGAAAAAGCTAAACCAAGAATATATTGAAAAATACAATACATATAATTATTATACGAAATACAATAAGTCTATATAGATATGATAATGAGCCTTTCGCTATTCCCAAAATGATAAGAAAAAATATGAAAAATTTAATAAAATAAATGACATTAAAATTATATAATTAAATACGTTAGTTAAAAGTTAATAGTAAGTACGCTAATCTTTAAATAAATACATTACATATTTAAAATTTCCGTGATACCTAAATACTACATATATGAGACCTACTTCTGGAATATATGTACAAATATGCATATAGATAACGTTTTAATCTTATATGCGAATTAATAATAAATAATGCATGTTGACTTTCTGGCTTATTTTTACATGTATAAATTGCTTGCCCCAAATTTCCTTATATGGGGTAAAGCCTTCAATTTTGCATATGTAAAAATAAACAAGACATGAGCATGACAAGCACATTAACAAGGTTCAATAGCTGAGACATATTTTAATTTAGTTGCTAATGTTTCTTCAAGCCCTTCATGACTGAATTGTTTCAACTTTACGTTATAGTTTTTTTTTTTTTATCTCAGGCATTTTTTTTTCATTTAAATTTTTCAATTACGTGGTTTTTATACATGTTCGCATATCACCATACCTAAAATAAATAACAATTTAATCACATGAAAACATAGTCAATATGAAAACATACCATATCCTTTTCCAAATAAATAGAGAATTAAGAGATATCTATCTAATTGATATATAACTTTCTTAGAAAATTGCATTTAATTTGAATTGTCGCTTTTAATATTAATATATAAAACGCACTAAAAATAATATATATATATATATATATATATATATTATTTTTATAGCTATTGAAAATAACGTGTGAAATTAAATTTAAATTAAAAATACGTTTAAATCTATTGAGACCATTTAGAAGTTACAGTCGAAAAAGAAACTCACATACACAGACGAACCCTAAAAATATTACACTCGATTTTCGGGCAGTCGTGTAAATAAATATATTATGTAAGGAAAAATTTCAAACAAATATATATGAATATAAATATATATCCAAAAGAATGCCGTCAATGTAATGATATAATATACAGCATAACCTTCTCTTGTCTCACCTGGAAGGTCTTCCCTGTGGCGCAGTCTGTGACATATATTTTACAGTCGCCGGCGCCGCCGCTTACCAGCAAACTCGTTTTATTCGATGTGTCCTCGATGAAACAGACATCACGGACTGTTCCGTCGTGCATAGACAGCTCCACCTGGCATTTAGAAAAAATAAAATAAATACCACTTGACATGTTGCAGTGCCGTCTAGTCCTAAACTAAGAAGTATCTGCTGTATGGATACTAGACAACTACACACATACCTATTTAATATCCTTTATTTTAATACATATATATGAATAAATATAATCATATCGGTAAAGATACGAACATATATACTCATGAATACGAGTATTTGCCGTATGGTCCCGGCATAGAATAGGCCACCCCCTCCTTTTTTGTGTAACAGCTGGAAATATTTTATATATAGACTTTGACATAATTTTAAAATTACTGTTCGACATTACCTTTTGTAGTGTCCTTCATTGTTCTAATATAAAGTATGCAATTCTCTCTGAATTTTTTTTTCTAAAAAACATTTTCCGTGAGTGTCGTAAGAGCCGACAAAGGGAGGGCGAGGGATGGGTACCAGCGTCCCTCTTAAATCATCTCCCAAGTCTAACTACGGTTACCAATCCACCTGTCAAGCACGGCAACTTCTGGCAAATCCCCACTACAAGAGGACGCTTATGTTCAACAGTGTACAGTTAAAGGTTGATATGATGACGATGACTACGAGTTTTGTATTGTGTAATAATTGAACCCGCGACCATCGCAACTTGAAGTGTGTTAAACTGCCTCATTAAATGTTAGGCTTAAAACGTTCAAATTGGAAAATAGTATTTTACTTCAAGTAATACATATCATATCAATAAATACTGCAGGCTGATTATAGTTATTATATCTAATCTAAATTAAAAATCTTTGTAAAATCATAATCTATAATTGAACAAGATAGAAGTTTAAAACATTAAACCTAGTGGTTCTACAAAAGCAGATCTACAAAAATATTCATTCAAAGTTCAATTAAAGTTCAAATAATACTTAAAGGATTATATGAATCTAAGTCTATGTCCACACTAGCATTTTTTGAACTTTCTAACGTGGGGTACTTCTAATGTTTCGAATGTACTTTATACACATATCTTCTTTCTAGTCCGTCACGCACACACACACACACATTACCATAGAATTTTTTGCCTACTTATATATACTTCATTTCAAAATTCAGAGCAGGAAACCCCACAATTGTCTAAAATAAACATTATGTAGGAAATGTATTTTAAAAGCTGCGAGTTACCATGTATTATTGAACAACGCACACACACGGTACTGATTTACTCATAGCCTATATGTATTGTGCCTTGAAATCTTATTTTAGGAACCACAATAGACTAGTAATTTGTCAAAATTCGTCAAAGTCATCCTGATATAGCTAAAAATTTTACGAAACCCGTCTTATTTCGTCAGCAGTGGACCTTTTGATAATTATCGATTATATGTTATTTAAAAGTCTAGTACTTACAAACTATAACTACTATATTAAATAATTCTTATTATTCACTACTATTTTTGTAGCATGAATCTACCATTTTTTATACACAGTTTTCTAGAATCAAATGGCTAATGATACGATTTCATTTCAATACTTATAGAATATCCGTCTCAAGTCAAATTACGTGAACAAAGAGATTACGCTTATTTGAACACCCTTGACTGCTCTGGAGCAAAACGGTAAATAAAGAGCTCGGCACAACATTTTTTAAACTCCTATGCAAACAAGTCCTTAGACTCAAATGATTACCGCTTAAAGAATGACAATTTTATTAGATAGATAGATAGATAATTTATTTGCAATACTTACAGCACACGAATTATATATAGATATACATAAAAAGCGAGATAACATAAATGATTAAAAAAATACATAAAGTCAAATACAATTTTTCATTTGTACGTGTGCCATAACATTACAAAATGGTTACATTTCATTAATTTAATAGACTTGGAAGTACTACTTCTGTTTACTAATATAAAGTATTATTAATCTCTTCTCAAAAGAAAAAATTAATGTCAATTTAATTATTATGAATAGCGACTCTTTGAAACGGCATCGTTTTATTATAAAAACACTTGTCCGTTGAGGAAATAAAGTCCCTACAGTTAGAAAATTAAAATGATGGATATGACGTGAAAATGCAATTCCACCAACCATCCGCCAGGATTTCTGGAAATAACCATAGAAAACCCGTTCATATTGGAATTTCGCGACATCCTGATATAAATAAGTTTGCACGAGTGAAGCTGCGGTAAATAGCTAGTTTTTACTAGTTATTTGATACTACAACAGAAATACAGAATAAAAATATTTCTAATGAAAAGTATAAAATCATAGGCACAGTATTAAAAATTTTAGCCAGTATCAGCGAAAACAATAAGCAATGTTAGTAGCGCTGATGTTTTTTTTTTTTAAAGTGAAAGCCCTTCCGTATACTCTTCTAAATAAGAAAATAAAAAAAAAGAATATTAAAATCTTGACGAATCCACGATTTTCCCGAATTCCGAAGCTAAAATCTCATTCTTAACTTTTCAATCCCTTTTCAATGTCGATTATAAAAGCAAGATATTGAAGATTCATACTCTCTATTTGCAAATTACATCAAAACATTTTGGTATTTAACGGCAATATATAATGTTAACCGCAAAATATAGAATGAGTAGATATATCGAAGCGCATACAAGCCAACCGCATTCATCTAAGGAGGTCCGTAGACGTTCTAGCGGCTTCAATGTAACCGCTTGTATATTATATTTAGCCATTACAAAACTGCTTGATAAAGTTATTCATAATCTCAAATGTCAATCTACTTGACTCATTTATTTTCTATTTAGTAAAGTTTCTATCTATAACTTTTAATACATTTGATCATATGTCACCTCCTGTCCTGTCCTTTGTGTCCTTCGTCTTACAAAAAGGAGGACCTGAATAAGGCAACCAAATGTGCTTTGGAAGTTGCTGAGTTCTAGTCCTAATATATTTAGTCTGCCTATTGACTCAAAAGACGAAGAATTATACTAAGCGGCCGAATGATCACTTCTTCAAAATCTTTTTGGCTGTTTCGTTACCCGACTACATTTACTAACAAATTAATTTGTTGTTTTTTTTACTTTAGAACTAAATATACTCGGTTTTACACGGTGTATATGCCACCTTTTTTTAGATTATTTTTGTGTTACAAATAAATTTCTTATTAAGAATACCGTACTAAATTGGGAATCGGCCATTACGTCAAGTAATAATTTAATTTTACATCAATTAGACTTATATCGATTCAAAATTAATCTAAGTGCTTAATTTAAACCACTTGATCGTTTATGAACCTCTTTATGGACAACACAAGTGTGCAGCGTGAAACCGGTATCTATTGAAATCGGATGAACTTTGTTGAGCGTACTTCCCGTTCACAAGTCACTACCTCTTTTATCGTATCGATACGTGAATTTACTCCGATACCTAAACCGTATTATACATATATCACGTGCAAATAGTGCGCAGTTAGTACACTTTAAAGTTACATTATGTCAAGAACGGATTGTATATTCTATAAAATGTAAACACTTTCTAAAAATAAACAAATTTCAAAAACGAACATCAAAAGCCGCTTTCGAAATAATTTAAGACTAATTAAAATAATCAATGACTAAATTGTAGTTATTGTAACAAAAGTAATACAAATACAAAAAAAATAATATCGTTGAAAAAGTTATCGAAGATACAGTGTGTTATTGTTGTGTTAAAAAAAATTTGGCTGCCTCTAAGTCACACAAAAATAAGCAATTTCATGACAAAGTTTTTTCTAAAATAAAACGATAAATATAGAACATAAATGTATTAAATGAGTCGAATGAATCAATTTACTTGGATTTGCTTGTAGGATCACTACCTTCAGGCAATTACAATGTTAAAAGTTATATTGTACATTTTTATTTATAAATGTTAATAGCCATATATGAAGATTTTATTATCAAAAATTGCTACACTTACTCCCCAGTTTTATGGTTGTATAAGTATACCAAACAGCGGAAACAATTGTTGGTAAACCAAAACAAATAAATAAACCATATAAACAAATACATACACGTGAACGAAGATATTTGTGATATAATCATACACTGACATAATACTCGAATATAACAAAACACAAGTAGATTTTTATTAAAATACCAATAGGATTATCTATAATATCTTATCTATCCGATCAGATAACATTTCATCATTCAATAGCATATTATTACATTTCTGGTTACAATCGAAATCGTCACATTCCGGGAATAATCTCATTTCAATACGTCCTTTTTTCGTGCATTTGAAAACATAACGAAATTTTACGTTAATGAAAATAGAATTATTGATCCATTATTAACATTTGAAAAATGAGGAAGCCCTCAAATCGCATTTATTTTTATCTGCGCGTATATCATGCGACATCTTAGCCAATTGTGAAATGATTTTAATGGCACTTATTACATTCGATAGGATTCGTATACATTTTCTCATAATTCTTCTTAAATTATGGAAGAAGTAATTTATGGCTCCCGCGATTTCATAGGCATTTGAACATTTTTTTTTAATATTATGACGACAATTCATGACAATTTATTTTTAAACTTTTGTTCCGTTTCTAACGATGTCTATATATGTATAATGGAAATTTTATGAACTTACTATGTCTGTGTTTTCCGACAATTATTTCGACAATATGAATCGATAAAAATACAGAATCCATTAGTATCACTACTATAAAGTTCTTTAGATAATTTACATATATGTTCGTTTAATTTGAAGCCTAAATATGACTACTATTAACTTTATCTTTTGTTATCATTACTCATTTCATAAAAGTAGAATGTAGATTGTGAAATTATATACATGACGAACTGTTACAGATAAAGGAAAAATGTTAATTTATCGCTACATTCATTTATTTGGGTGTGAATATTGTCTAATACGTTAGATTGGAACGTAGGTAATAAATTATGTTACGCTTGTATTCATCTACCTATAGAATACTAGGGAGTATTCTGTTATATCGTTATATATTTTCTTTATAAATAAACTAAATCCATCGATCAACTTTCGTCACGCATAGGCAGTTACCACAAAATCATATCCACTTCCGTTTACATAACTCACTGGAACAAACCAATTAATTTCCGGCGTACTGTACCTAACTAAAACGGAATTTCTAAAGTTTGTGAGCTCGGATGTAAAAAATTTAATTAAAATTTATATGCATTAATGATTCATTATAGAAAAGTTAGATAACAAAACGACCTAGTGTTAGATAACTTGATTGATAGTATATCAACAACATTCTTGCTTATCTATATGTACATATACAAAATCCATGTGTATTATTTTCGGCTTACAAGGTGTTTTTCTATTTGCGTATCTGATTTATAACATTAATCTATTGTTAATAAAATTAGTATCTGTACAAAACAGTTTAAGTATTGAGTCTCCAGACGCAAAAATTATACAAACAGAAAATAGCGGAACACGTGCTGCGAGTCACGACAAAGCTAATTAGAAATATATTGAATAAATTATCTAATTGGTAGACAGATACGTCGTTTGGTAGTTTATGATTACAGGCTAACTTTTTCATCGTAGGGATATTGAATATCGAAATATTCAAATCTTAATGTACCTAAGGAGTTTTTAAATAAGTTCGTAACTTTAGCTCGCCGAAATGTGCGATGTGCAACAATTATTTGCCAATTTTCAAAAAAAATTTAACATTCAGTATTTCTGATTATTTAAAAAGTTCTCTGCTAATAAAATAAAACCGTAATCATACAATATTTCTGTTACTGAAAAGTTAAATTTTGATAGCAAAAATGTATTCGAAGTTATAAATAAGTAATATATTAATATGCGACATTTTCTATAATTAAAGTGTTCGTTCAATAGAGGAGTATTTTTCAATAATCAATCAGAAACATTGAAAAATTTTTTTTTATCAAAGTTTACAGATAGTTGCGTAATTGCTATATCTCTTTATAAAGGCTCTTAACCTAAACAATTGGTATTTATATAAGTTAATATGATGAGATATTCATTAATACGCAACAACAAACATACCCCACAACTCCCAGTACGCAGCGTTTCGTTCCACATTTAGCGCCATCTAACCAGGATAATACGATCCCTTCGACTGAGTATGCATGCCACACAATTTCGGACGCACCTCAATATTGCAAAACAGTGCCTACCGAGTAATTTGGGACTTTTATCTAGTCTTCTATTATGCGTACGACAAAAAAATACTAGAAATACACAAATGAACAAAAGTATCTCTGACTTTTTCGTGATTGATTTTGATGTTTGTGTATTTGTGTAGGTTGACTTCCGATTTCGTAACGCTTAGCTCATGAATACATCGATCGTGCTTTAAAACCATTAAAAGTATAATTAAAATAAAATAGTCATTTTTAAAATAAAAAATAATCTTATCAACAAGATTTGTTACTGTACAACATTAAACCTTAAATTCCAATCGTATATTTTTAAAATACAAATATAATGTATTATTTCATTTTTTATTGTAAGTCACCGTTTTTTTGCATTAGTGTATAGTAAACATTGACAACCAATTTTATTATACTCGTAGCTATTCCTACGTACACTCTGAAGTATCAATTGATACACCAACGAGATTCATATTCGTCGATTATTTTACGAGTGCACGACAGATATTCCGTATTGAATGACATGAAATTTCCGAAATAAATTGTATTTCGAGATTAGCGCTGTTGATATCAACCCTTGAATCAGTGTGCCTTGGTGATTGACAAGATGAATCTCTCCTATTCGCATACGAGATATCGATTTAGGGTATTCCAATTATCGAAACGAGTCTACGAATGTATTCGATTTCATACGAACCATTTGAACGTGTAGTATCACACGGTAGGTATCATGTAGGGTTTTATACAAACACTGCTGACATAGAATGTTTATTTACAGGTAAAGGATTTTCCACGGGTTACAGACCTTCAAACGATTGGGTTTATTTTTTATCCTAATTATAAAAATCATGTAAACAGAAGAATAATTTAAAAATATTTTTTTGGATTGAGATAATTATTCGTTAATTTTTTTTATAAAAATATAAATAAATAAATGTTCAAAATTCCCTTGGAATCAAAACAACAGTAAATATTTTCGATTCAAAAATACATCATAAAGGGTTTAACATTGGAAAATATAAAACCGTTAAAATACAATTTGGATACGTACATCGGGAGTTAAAAAAAAAGAATCAAAGGCACAATTCAACCCGATATAAGCTAATTTAATATAATAAAATTCATTTCCATAATTTACCTGACTAAGAATGGATGTCCGAACCTCAATTACGAGAAACAACAAACCTATTATATCTCTGTACTACGAAGGTAAATAATAATGCTTGTTCAATTTGAGTGTCGTATCGTATCAGCCGTTAACTGCCTAATGCTAAACATAGATCTCCCCTGGTTTTGCCAGTAGTTGCAACGCTTGACAGGCGTTTGATATGATACGACAGAGACGCTAATATCCATCCCTCGACAATTAATTTCCCTTACTTGCCTCTTACGACACCCACGGAAAAGGAAGGAGTGGTCTATTCTATGCCGGGAAGCAAGATAAATTCAATTTCAGTAATTACTATTAATACATGTATGTGAAATTAAATACGGAAGGAAATATGATATCAGCATACATACCTCCTGGCCTTCGAGATTGCATGCGTGGCTATTGAACCTCATCAGTTTCACGGTCTTGTCGTTGGAGCCAGTTGCGAGGAGGTCACCAGCTGGGCTCCATGCGAGACAGTAGATGCTGCCTTTGTGATGTTTTGTACGTTTGAGAAGCACCGTCGGAGCTGTCGGAGCACTGTTATCCCTGTACGGAAGATATGATAATTTGTTACTCATTCGTGCAATTATTGTACAGAGTTAGCACAAATTCATACATTAACTCTGTACAATAAGTGCATGTTATCAAATAGGTTAATTCATAGAGCTAAACCGTACGATATAGCCGAGGTCAAATTTAATAAACTATCACATATAAAAAGAAAATTAAACAACAGACGTGCTGTTTCGTTCTTTTTATGCGAGCATTTGGTACATATATATCCTCTAAACTGTGGTAAATTCATAAATAGATGAAACACTGTCAGTATTACTATGATAAACGAACATAACTTTAAAATTGGCTATATTTAATTTAGCGTATGTATCTAATAAATATTATAAATGCAAAAGTTTATAACGATAGATGGATGGGTGTTATTCTTTCAATCAAAACTGAACGAATTTGATTGAAATTTAATACACGGGTAGAATATTATATCCTAAGTTAGCACATAGGATACTTTAGATGATTCACGCGGATGAAGCCGCGGGACACGGATACTACGGAATATATCAGAAGACGATTCTCTCGCTGTCTCACGAATAAATTAGGTACAGCCACAATTATTAACAGTATTTCTTTGACCGCAGAATTGATAGAAAACTTTAATTTAATTCACAACGCGACGTCTTGAATTCATAACAAATCGAATTTGATACGGGACAGTAAGCCCTCTTCATACAATTATTATCGTATCCGCATTACCTAATTAACTCTGTGCTAATCTCGATTACAACATAGGTAGCTGTTATGAAGTAAATAAAATTTTAATATGATCACATCACACATTCTATACAACAACAATAACAAAAACGTTTACGTTCTGTAAAACAAACACACACACACACACACAAACAAGCAAACTGATGAAAGACAAAATATTCACAAAAGTCGGCGACAAATTTAGTCGCGTATCTACATATTGATACTAGATGATATGCTACGTAGTAAGCCCTATCAATTTAAAAAAGTATGGTAAAAACCGGTTCCAAATTCACTATGTAATCACGTAACATGGCCAGAAAAAAATCCATTCAAGTCACATTCTTTTAGAAGTCGCTGAAAAATTAAGATATTTTTACCCCTCATAGACTTTTAAGTCTATTATTATCTTGTTGTTGACATATAAATGTCAATACTGTCAGCAACGAAGTTGTTACTGCAACTCAACATATACGAGTACACTATGTGATATAAAATATATGTTCGAAGACTGTATGGCTGACTGTACAAATTTAGTTTTTACGCATATATATAATTAAGTTCGATTGACAATTTGTTTCTGTTGTTTATGATTTTGCATCGATAATGTGTAAAGAGAACATTATCTCATTTATGCAATAATAAGGCCACATTGCGTACTTTAGTAATTATGATAAAACATATAATATCATATTAATAAATTGATAAATGTGCTCAAGCAACTTCAAGCAATATGTCTCACACTAAATGGAACCAGTCATATCAAAACCTAACTTTTTACTTAAACATTACACAAGTTTATTCCACTATAATTACAGAGTGGAGATTTATAACACTTTAGTTCTCAGGAATGACAACACAAGACTCTGAAGTTACAATAGATTTTATGACGTCCGTGGTACTATTCATGTCTAAAGAGGTTATAGCTACCACTTTCAATTAAGTGAGTTATCAGCACGTTTGTCATTCCAAGTTACTTTTAAAATCATAAATGTGAAAATTCGTATAAATAATTGAAATTCTAGACGATAATTTTTTATCATAATTCACAGGTAGCCAGTAGTCAATAAGGTGAATGATGCACATCTCCTTCTCGAATCATTGTCAATAATAATATTAAATAGCTATACTATTTTAAATTATTAAAAATGATATTTGTTGCAATTAAATTGGTATCAAACCGAAATTACAAAAAATAGACGTTATATACTCGTACATGATAAGGTGCGTTTATCGATATTATTTTAATATGATCCCAATTTCAAAAGTCACCCTCTGTATGAATTTTAATGATTTCGCAGAACAACTTTTAATTCGTCTGTTTATCTCAACTGTATTTTAATATCACCATAATAAATTCTTGTAATGACTAGGATTACGGCCCCTGAGAAAATTGCTATATCGTGTTGTGATATAAGAATGCATACAGAATATCTGGAAGTACGAGTATAATATATACCTATAATTTTAAATAGACTGAATGGTCCATATGGTGTTAGAAGCGCAGTGAAGATCGTCGCAATGTGATATGTACGGACAACTATTTATTATATGTATCAGAGTCAGATTGGAATTTTATTGCCACATTGCATCAGCACATTTATAGAGTGCATAGACTTCCTTACTCAAAGTATCAAATACATTTATAAGAACTACGTATTAAAAATCTTTATGCCGATTAACATATAAAGCACATCCACAGCCTACTGGATCTATAAGTCACAGAAGTTTCATATTAAAGCAAGAGATCGGACGTAATTCCCAATGGAATGAAAGATAACAGGTTACTTCGATTAAAACCACGTGAAACTTCTATAAATGTGAAACTTTGCAAAGGTTGAATGAAATTTAGTTCACAGATAGACCATATTCTGAATTATTTATTACAGAGAATATATTTATCATTGTTCATAATAGTTGCCATTCCACCTAATAAAAAATAAATTAAATCTTTTTTTTTTTGCTTAAATAAAAAATAATATGTTTTTTTTACAATTAAATAACATTTCTACATTAATTCGCTATTAGTAAATTTCCAAGTATATAATTATAAATAAATGATTAAAAAATAATAAAATAAAAACATCTTATAAAGTAAGTCAATTTTAGTATAGAAAATTGGTCATCAATAATTTTCTCTTGATAAAATTGAGGTGAAAATTAAAATTTTCTCTATCAAGTTAACTTTAAGTGAATTTTCAATTTGTCATCAGCATTATTCATTTTATAAGTGTTTACGTAAGGTGTAGAAATACACACAGTGTAACGGTATAAGACATTGGCCCCACCAGAGAGCAGCCGATTACAAGCCTTTTTGGAGTATAATTATATTAGAAAGCACGCCCAATTTTCTTTAGTTCAACATGTTGGTTGAGATAAAACAGAAACTCTGTCTTTAAACGACTTCCAAAATTGGTTTTTAATTTATAAGTTTACTGTTTTGGTTGCACGTTAATTTTGTGACGATCAAAGCTGACGTTTTACATTGCGGAGCATAATAATACTGTTGTTGTAGAGCAATATCTCCTTCTTGATATTTAAATCCATATTCTAAATTAAAATATTTTTCGTTTATTAGTATATTATTCGTTATAAAACAAGAGAAATAGTAACATTAATTTTATCATAGATTGTTATATTTTGCGGAATAAAATCTACTTTTTGTACATTACAAATCTATAGCACAACTACTAAAGATTTGCAGAGTTATAATGCACTTCGAGCTACAATATATGACATTATTGTAACATTCTAATAAGTTTATTTGACTTCTTTTTAACACGCCCACACTACACAGCACTCTGTCATGCTATTAGATAAGTGCTTGTAACATGATAACGCACTATTTAAGAAATTGACATTTAAAGTACCTATTTTACAATTACTTCAAAAAGAGGAGGTTATCAATTCCGCTGTTTTTATGTAGTGCACTTTACGCGATAGCTTCACCACTTACGAACGAATTTTGATAATTATTTTTTATTAATGAAAATCTTTGATAAAAAAAATACGATTCTCGTCAGTCTTTTATTTTTACTAGAACACAAGTTTAAATGATACAGCTATAATTATATATTTAAAAATTATAGTGAGGGAAATTCTTACTAATATAATAAATGTGAAAGTAAGATTGCTTACTAGTTTGTTTATTACCTTTTAGCATTATAATAGCTCAAACAGCTGTCATAAAATTTTGTGTACACTATACTATTTGGAACTGAGTATATATTACATAGACTATATTTTTTATTCCGGTCAATTAATATATCCCGGTTACGTGAACAAAGTTGCAGGTAAAGACTAGATCCACAATAAATATTCAAATATTATGATAATGTGATTCGAGTAATCTCAATATATTGAATCGTAATATATGTATTATTATATGCTAAATTTACATTGACATCTATGAAGCCATTTAACGTTATATAATACATATGGTAATAATATTTCTAAGAATTCTTAAAATAAAGTCATTATTATAATGTAACTTGTGATATATTTGATTTCACAATAATTACATAATTGAAAATAGGAAATTTAATTAAAATAAAGAATCAAGTTCTTATTTTACTTCTTAAATATTTGTTTCTCACAATTAAGAGGCCCTCGGAACAATTAAATGTGCTTATATTAGTTATTGTTCTTAGCCCTTTCTAATAAGAATCGCAACGATGCGATTTCACTTCAAATTATGTGATTTTTCATTACTAATTTTACAAGAGATTTGTACTGAATATAATCAAAATGAAAAAGCTTTAATAGGACTTTAACTACAAGAACAAAAGCGTTTAGAGGATCAATTAAATGAGGATTTGTAGAAAAGTATAACTGTTTTCACCTATCTGCTAAACAAAGGAGTGTACTTAATCATTATTAGTGTATAGTTGTACATATGTACATACATCCAGGTCTTTGGTGTATCATGTGTCCTAAATAGCTTGATGAATTTTTTATCAATGGGCTGGTTTTATTTACATCTTAAAACTGTGTGGAATTATATTGGCATTTATTATGTAACGACAAAGTCCTCACTAATATTATAAACATGAAAATGAGTTTGTTTGTTACCTTATAACGTCTTAATTAACCAATCACTATGAAATTTCGTACACATATTATATGGAAAATATACATGGAAAGATGGAAAAGGATGTAGGCTGTTATTTATCCTGGTCGGTAAATAAATTCCATTCACGCGAACGAAATCTAGTAAAAGGGTAAAAGCTAGTAAGATATAATTTAAAAATCTTGCTGGTATGGCAGTTTAATATATTTTCCCA